CCCCCAGGCCCCGCTCCCCCAGGCCCCGCTCCCCCAGGCCCCGCTCCTCCAGGCCCCGCTCCTCCAGGCCCGGGCCCAGCTGGAGAGCCCACGAGACAAGGGGAGGCGGCAGACCCGCGAGGACGCGCCGCGGGCGTGGGGGGGCAGCGGGAGCGAAGTTTCCTACTACCCCCCACCCCGTCCCCCGTTTCCCCTGTCGCACCTCGCCTCCTGCCGCCCCACCCCGTCTTACCTGGCGGAGAAGAAGGGGGGGGCCCCCCCCCCCCAAGCCTCGGGCCGCCGGCTGGCCCCCGCCCCTTCCCGCCCAGGTCAGGCCCGCCCCCAGCCCCGCCTTTTCTGCCGGGCCGGGGGTGGGGAGCCTGCGCCTGCGCGACCTGCGCCCTCCGGCGGGACAAAGGGGGGGGCGGGGAGAGACGGGTTCCGAATCTGATTTTTTTGGCCGATAGCGTCATCTAGTGGTTGCCCGGCTAACTGCCGCTCGAAAACGAGTCCGCGGCCAACCCCGACCCGGGCTCCCCCAATCTTAAAGTCACACGCGATCTCCGAAGTCGTCCGGCCCAACCCAGCCACGGGCCACGGAGGCAGCACCCGGGTCTACCCCCGCCCAGCTTCACTCCCCTCCACACAGCGGCCCGGCCTCCTGCCTTTCTCCTCATCCCCCCATACCACGGCCTCGTGCTTGGCATGCTATATCCTCCTCCTCCCTCCTGGCTCCCTTCAAGCCCTAGCTCAAAGACCCCCCTTGGGCTGGAGGCCTTTGATTTTGATGTCACAGCCATTTCCAGATGCCCCCGAGTCCCTGGCCCTGCTTTGCATAAGCTTTGCCTTTTGACAAAGAAGCAGAGTTAGGCAAAACCAGCGTCCCAAACTCCATAGCTCTCACCCACCAAGTCCCTCCTGCTGTTCTTGTGGACAAGGCAGAGCAACGTGGGCGCTAGAGCACAGCAGCAATTCAACGGCCAAACGCAGAGGAGTCATTAAGGTTTGATGGCAGTTTGGAAGGATCTGTGCTTGCTCCCATGGTGTCCAACGCCTTTTAAAACATAAACGTGTATTGATATCATTTGTCCTTACGTTGCCCGAATTTCCCATGTATCTTGCCCCCTCCAAGAGAGCCATCCCTTATAATAAAGAATTTTGGTAAAGAAAAAGAACGAAGAGGAAAAGGAAAAAAACCCATTCAGCAAAACCAATCACTAAGTGAAGAGTTCTGTCGTCGTCCGCAGGATTCCTCACCCGTGGGCCCCACCTCAGCCAAGAAGTGGGGGGAGGGAGCTTCTCTCAGCCTTGCTTTGCAAATTCACAGCGATTCACTCATTTGCGATGGATTGGGGTGGGGCGGGGTGAGGGAGCCAAGGTTCCTTCCGTTTACATCGTCGGAGTCCTGGAGCCTAGTCTTCGTCTGGTCCTGCTTCCCTTTGCATCAATTCAGCTAAGTGTTGCCATATGTTTTAACAGTTTTTGTCAGTGCTGCGGATGAAGCCTGAGCTCAGAGAGAGAACTGCCATGGAGGATTGGGACAGGTTCGGGAGCTCAAAGTTGTGAGTGGGCAGGAACCCTGGACCGGATATAAAGAAATGAAATTGTTCAGGCTACAGGTCAGTTTAGGGTCAAAATCAGCCTCACAAATCCAAGAGGAGTGTACTAAATCTATCCCATCTGACAGAACCGAGATTTCAGCGCAGCTCCAGAGTGATTTTAAAAAGCGCCACTAGGTGTCAGTGTTGCCTCAAAAATGCCAAGTCGAGCAGGCTCAAAACGTGCCCAGCTCCCTGACACTTCTGCAGAGTTCTCTCAGCGTTAATGGTCACCTAGAGGCAGCTGGGCCTTCCCCGGAGCTTTGGGCCGAAATGACCAAGTGCCTCCCCTCGAGACCCAAATTGTAGGAGGCTGAATGGGTCCAAAGTGGAGGCAGCGTTCCCGGCACCAAAAATGCTCCGGAGAGGAATGAGAGAGAGAGGGAGAGAGAAAGACGGAGAGAGAAAGAAAGAGAAAGACGGAGAGAGAGAAAGAGAGGGAGAGAGAAAGGAACAGAGCGGAGAGGAGGGAAAGAGGCGGGGACAGGAGAGAGAGGAGGGAGGAGGGAGGGAGAGAGAGAGAGAGAGAGAGAGAGAGAGAGAGGGAGTGAGAAAGAAAGAGAGAGGGAGAGCAGGCAGAGAGAAAGAGAGAAGAGAGAGAGAGGAGAGAGAGGGAGAAGAGAGAGAGAGAAAGAGAAGGGGGGAGAGGAAAGAGAGGAGGGAGAAGAGAGAGGAGAGAGAGAGAGAGAGGAGAGAGAGAGAGAGAGGGATTGAGAAAGAAAGAGGGAGAGCAGGCAGGGAGAAAGAGAGAGAGAATAGAGAGAGAGAGGAGAGAGAGGGAGAAGAGAGAGAGAAAGAGAAGGGGGGAGAGGAAAGAGAGGAGGGAGAAGAGAGAGAGTTAGAGGAGAGAGAGAGAGAGTGAGGGAGAGAGAAAGAAAGAGACAGATGAAAGAGAGAGAAGAGAGAGAGCAGGGATAGAGGGAGGGAGAGGAGAAAGAGTGGGGGACAGGAGAGAGAGAGGGAGGGAGGGAGAGAGGAGGGAGACAGAGGGGAGGAGAGAGGGAGAGAGAGAGGAGACAGAGAGAGTGAGGAGAGAGAGTGAGAGAGAAAGAGACAGAGAGAGAGGGAGAGACAGAGAGGGAGAAACAGAGAGAAAGAGAGACAGAAGAGAGGGGAGAGAGAGAGTGAGATAGAAAGAAAGAGAAAGAGAGAGGGACAGAGAAAGAAAGAGAGAGAGGAGAGAGCAGGGAGAGAGGGAGGGAGAGGAGAGAAAGGGAGAAGAGAGAGAGAGGAGAGAGAGAGGAGAGAGAGAGAAGAGAGAGAGAGTGAGAGAAAGAGAGAGAGAGAGGAGAGAGAGAGAAAAGAGAGACAGATATAGAGAGGAGAGAGAGAGACAGACAGAAGAGAGAGAGAGAGGAGGTAGACAGGTGGGGAGAGGAGAGAGAGGAAGAAGGGGGGGAGA